AACTCCGAATATTTTCACCTCTAAAACATCAAGGGCCCGGAGTAGCCATACATCAGCTGGCTGTCCATGTGCGCATGCCCTGGTTCAGTTTCTTGGCTCTTGCTCATTGGCTGCAAACAGGATTTCACGATATCTTTTGAGCGAGGAGAATAGTCTAAACCCAAATACGTCCAGAGTTGTTCCATGAACGCTCGGTTGTTTATATCATTCATCTCCTACAGAGTATAAGTCACAATCTACAGTGGCACAATGGGCAGAAGTTTTGAAGGAAGAGCTCACCAGAAAGTCTTCCTGTTCTATCATATCCACCACCACTGCCTCAAAAGATCTGAATTTGATTTCTTGGTGAACGATGAGATCAACACATATATCTGAAGCTTCGGTATCGAAGTAAACGGTTTGGTGAAGCATCCTGTTGTGGGACAAAAGGTCAGAGTCACGTTTATACATCTGAAGCGTTTAATTCATGGTTGCACTGCCTCACATGTTTTCCTCCAATATAAAATGTTTCAACAACGTTCAAACCAAGTATCCATATTAGAACGCAAATTTTCGGCGCTTGGCACACTGACGCTGTCATTTATCAGCGGTATATATGAGAACATTAGAGTATATCATTATTTGGATTGAACCAGTTCTCTTTCTCCTTTGACGGTTCTTTTGATTTTGATATCATTCCCTTATTCCTTATTTCACATCATTTATGTATGCAGCATGGATCCCCAGCTGTATAAGTCCACGGAGAAAAAGCCTTTGTTTTCTCTAGCTGATGGTACATCATAATTTAAATCGTCCGATGATACAGCTTTACTACGATTTAATTATCTTATTTTCCACGTCTACATAATGTCCTTTTACCTTATGAACGATTCTCCAGCATTGAACTCGTCTGCTATCAAACTTGCAGCCGCCTGTTGCTGGGCCAGGTGATTGGAATCTAGCACTTTCTCAGTCATCCGTGCATCTCTTCCGTTGTATGGGGTGGCCATTTCAGTAGTAGCTCTGAAAGTGTGTGGTGCGCTGTTTCACCAGAGCTTGCCTTGACCAGCACCCACCTGGAAAGCCAGATGCCTACCAGATCCACTTCCGAGTTTTCACGACGTCCTCAGCACCCCGTCCACCGGCTGGCCACTGTTTCGGGTGTGACATGTCGAAGCGAGTCACGGTGCACGTGACTTCTTAATGCACTCACTGATTGAGCAATTTACTTGCTGGTCTCTAACATGGTACACAGGATAACGATTCATGGCATATGTGTACTCCTCCGAACAATCTTACACCTCACCCAAACTCTTCAGAAGCATATATTCTGATCCCTGAAAGACCATAATGTGTCTCAACTTTTACCTCGGTGTTGCTACTTTGCTTTTAGTGAAGGATGTGTGGTGAGTCTGTGACAGTTTTGCCTTACATTCCAAGGTTCACCTTAACAGTATAGAGGTCTAATGCTCCTTCAAAGAATGGAGAAAAGCTGTATGTGATCTTCACCACCTTTTGGCTGCCTTCACACTTTCTCCGGTAAAGTCCGCTTGAGAAACATCAGGCAGCCGCAGGCCCTCCAGTCAGCAGCAAGCTATTCCTGAAATTTTGTCTGCCCGAAACCCAAATATTCTTTGCTGTTGACACGTTTGCATCTTCCTTAAGATGTTATCGATTACTGGACCCCGGAGGTAACATTTCAGATGGTGACCGCTTCTCCACCCATTTTGGTATATATCTGCTTGTTAAATGGTTTCAACAATGTGAACGGGCTGGGACATTCAACATATGCTGATGTTGGACGTCCACGAAAATCTAACTTGATAGAAATCTTCACTAATTGTTTCCTTCAAGCATTGCAGCAACGTTATCACTCATGCTATTGCTCACAATGGGGTTTCAGCCATGAAAATATGATTTTTAAGATTTGCATAAAATCAGGATGACTAAACTGAGTTCATTCTCATTACATGCCATCTATCTTTCGCTCGAAACGACTCCCCAATATCCAATCCGAGTCTTTTAAGGTCTCTTGCACTCCCGGAGTAGTTGTAGGAGCTCGGAGAAGGAAGTATTGAAACCATGTTCGGTGTGCAATTCAATCTTCTCTTTGTTTTTTCTATGCACTGAAATAGAACGGCTTACAATGAGCCCAAGGCCGTAGCCGGTCAGTGACACGTGAGAAATGGGGTGACCAAGACAAATCAGAACTGTTGTTGTATGTTGTTGGGGTTGGTGTGTGTTTGTCGAGTCATATGACTGTTTGACAGATGATGCACGAGCTCTGGGTCCCTTTTCGCTTGCAGGGGGCGACGTTTTCTTCTCTCAAACGTTGTGCTGGTTTTCGTCAGATTTGCCCCAATCTGCTGTTCCTCTTGGTGCAGAATCACGTTCAGGGGGTTTACTATCCATTGCTGACTCTGAATGTGCCACGGTTCCTTTGTACCCACGTTTTGTTAATGTTAATGCAAGTACTAGGAAGAGCATGAAGGAATTGTTTGTTTGTCTGTCTGGTGGTGACAGCTTCGTCCGTCATATTCGGGTCAGCTGAATACTGTCCCATGCTAATTCTGCTTACTGAATCCACCTACGCCGATCGTAGAGCATGTGTCGAATATTTTCTGGGCCTCGGGCACATGCCCACAGCCTATGCCCCACTGCTTTCTCATCATGGGATTTTTCCTGTAAAGCTCTGCTTGCTCTGCGTTACTGACTGCGTACCGAGTTCTGGACTCGAGAACTGAAGAACGTATTCCAGTACTCTCGGTGCCTTACTCTGAAGTTCGGATGTCGTATCCCTGGGTCAATACGTATTTATAACTGATCTCACCACTATTGATCTTTCAAATCCTCGAGCCCTTCGTGATGGTTTATAAGTCAAGGCTCATATTCTCTAACAGTAAATACCGCCGAGTTCCTCTCAGATCATCAAGCTACCGTTCTCAGCTGGGTTCCAAGAGTTTGACTAATATCTAGGTGACTGAGTTCAGAACTCCTGGCTTTCCGATCTGCTCCAGGAGGATGCTGTGTTGGAGAATGTTTCATAAATGTCCACTTTCACCACAATGCCAACGTTTGGTTCAGGATTTTAGATGCAGAACTCCGATTGGAAACTTTTCTCGGAACGTTTAGAGAGGGAGTGTTGAACACATTCGTGTTTGTTTCGATGGAGATTCACTTTGGTCACCTGTCGAGCTGTTGTGTCTTCTTCGTGTCTCGGTGTGCCCCTGACCGCTCTCGCCGTCGACTGTAGGAGATGATGACTTTCCCCAAAGGAGAGTGTGATGATTCGAAGCTAAACGCTAACCAAAGGACCGAATTATCCATCCAGCTTCTCTTGAAATCAACACACAGCCTGCTGCCCGTAGGAATCCTGTACGTATCTGTCTCTGGTTGATAACTCAGAGGAGAAACATTCTCACTTTCCCACTCCAGCTGCTTGTCTGAGTACAGCAACGCACTGTCTGCAGAAAAGGGGAAGCGTTTGGTTTCAAGAGCCTCGAGCTTTAACACAAAGTCTAGGGCTTATAAGATGCGACTGATGTCCAAAATCACTCTGAAACCAGCAGGCTTCGATCCCTCGAGCGGAACAGAGGAACGATTGCTCGCAATGAGAACTTCATCATCCTGACGCTCGCATCCAAGAGCCACTAGCTTGACACAACGATCCCTCCTATTCTTCTGAAAGTGAACAGGGATTGCATCGCATGAGCCTACTCTTTTATTGTTATTAATATGTTGAAAAGTATTCAAATCTATATATGATTTTTATTCTAAAATGGAAATTTACTAAACTACGAATTTTGGACATGTTCGTGGAGGACCCTACATTGTTTTCTTTTGATTATTGTGTTGATTCTTCTAAGCAGTACTTATTCATTCATTGCTATGAGAACTGTGGCGAGCGGGATATATACATATATAAACGGTTGATTAATTTCGACAGGATGTCATAGTTGATGTTGTACCCTATTCACATCACGATAGTACACACAATTCGGTCATAACAATTGGTTCTAGTGGATTTCCTTGTGCGGGTCAGTGGGTCTTCCCTTCGTTTTTGTCATACATTTTGTTAAGGCTCACCTTTAAAGCTGATGTACGCCTATGCTACTAGAGCTGCCTACCACGTCGTCCCAGAAGAAAAAGCCAAGTATGTAAACGTGAACCGCAGACTAAATCTTTGTCACAAGTAATGTTCTTTTTGAGGGTCAAAAGATGGATCGAAGCACAATCACGTACCAGCAGGAAACACTGATGAAAAGTATTTTCGTCGAACTTGTTAGACCGTGCCCGAAACCCTCGAAGTTCACCATCGTGTTCTTTCAGAAGCTTGTACGGTGTCGGAGGTTTGTAGTGGACCGTGAGGTCTTATGCAGCTGAGGAGAAATGAGAGGTGCAACTCGATGGTCCACTAGCTTTTTGTTGTTTCCGTTCAGTCAAGATTTTCGGGGCCTTTTATGGTTATCTAATCTGTAGTCTTCGCACGCGTGACGTGGCTGTCAAAGTTCGGTCGGGCTCGTAATCGGACACTTCATTGAGGATCTGATCACTGATCCGAAGACATTCTCATGTCTCAAGCTAGCAAAATTCCCGCACCGTCAGTCTCTAGGCTGCTTACGAAGCTCGCGGTATCTCGGTCGAGGTGAGAGCACTTTACAGATGTCACATGCGTGCAAGTGCACATGTCTTGTAGTGAAGATTCAGGGTTTTGAGTTCTCCTTTCGGCATCTAGACTTGGAAATTCCAAAATTCGGTGCCCGTTCCACTTACATACAGGAAACGAGGAAATGCGGAAGGAATTTTGTGAGGATTGCAGTCATGTACTTGTATCGAAACCTCCAGCAACCATTACAAAACATGCCACGGGTCACACCACCTGCATACTCTAGGAGCCATAGTGTGCCACGTTGTAATGCAAATGAATTGTCAAGCTGCGCAGCCATCCATTCCCAACTTTTGGCCAGACTCAGAGGACAACTTCACTAGAATGACAGTCACGTTGAAAAGGTCAACTCTGTGTTGGACGCTTCGACATAGCAGAGCTCATCTTCTGTCGGTACAGTCTGCGGAAATGCTCATGGTACGGTAAAAATGAGGAAGAAAAATCCAGATCTCTTGGCACCTGATCTGGCAGTCTCTTCAGCCTTCGGCAAGCTCATACTTCTGGAAATATGTACACTAATTAGAAGTCAGATGGACTGCAGCCTTCAACAGTTAAATCGTCCGTTTTTGAGGATGCTTGTCACCAACTTGTGAAGACGAGCACTATATTTATGTGCACGGCGTGAATGAGCTATATATTTATGTGAATCTCATAGAATAAAAGCTCTCAGCACCGAATGGCAGAATCCTCCTTTGGCTATGATCCAATCCAAAATGAGTGGAAATGGAGCAAGTAACTTAAGTACACTATTACAAAATGACTTGAATCAAAACGCTAAAACTGAGATAGTCTGAGCGTTCACTACTGGTTGATGACCACAACTACGATGTACGAGCAAAATCTAACTCGTACCTCTCTAAATTTTGATTTGAAGGTCAAATGACAAGACGGAATCCAGTCCTAAGATAATTGAGAAGAAACTCCACTTATCACGACCTGGGAAGTAATATCTGGGACGGTTGACTTTTCACACAACCTACGGATAGGTGACTTCCACAGAATGTTGTTGAAGGATTTTCAATCAAAATAAATAGAAGTGCGATGAAAACACTTCTGATTCTGCCATGTGGCGAGTACGCTACAATTTCATGTGATCTGATGGATCGACCGGTTTGTTCTGATGATTTCGAATCTCCCAGTGCAGGTGAGGGCCCGTAGCTCGTCCTGTCTCCCCTACTGTCGCAATGCAATCTCCGCGTCTCACTAATTGACCTTCCCAAGTAAAAATTTCGCTGTTGTGAGCATACAGGGTCTTCCATCCATCTCTGTGAGTTATCTGTTTCAAAGTGAGCTCAAAATTTAGGCCAGTTTTTTTCGTCATAATCTCTTCTGCCCAGACCTTAACCTTCTCAAGGCACTAGATGAAATGGATTGAAAGAGGAACAAAGGTCGATAAACATCCCCGACCTTTAATTTACACAGCCTAAAGTTTAAATGGCATAAAGAGTGCCAAGATTAGGCTAGAACATTGAGATCGGAATCCAGTCAGATCCAGGGAGATCGGAAGGTTGCTCAGAAACTCAGGTTTTCACAATTTGAAAGAATCGGATAATTAGGATTGATCCCATGAGCTTCCATCATTGAAACGAAAAGGTTTGACCAAGGCGGAACTTTAAACAATAGACTAGGACGTCGACAATGATGTGAATTCTATATTAAGTCTTGAAACTTCTTTTGAGCAGAAAGATTCTAGAAATCATGTCTACTTCCTATCATTCTTAGGAAAAAGGGCTGAATTGGAAAAAAAAATAAATTACCTCGACAAGGTAACCATATCCACCAGGTTCCCATCCGGCGTAGGTGACCTCACCCGAATCTGCAGCCAATACGGGTTCGCCAGTAGGAGCAGCCAAATCGACACCGTTGTGTTGGCGGCCCCACCTCGGCCCAAAGCCAGAACTCACTTCCCATATTTTATCTACAGGTCGTATGAAACCTGACCAGCCTTCGACAGCCCGGACTGCAATCTCTTCGGCGACTAAGAGTGTAGAGTCCGAGGGCTCAGCCACCCAAGACGGCCGCTCATTTCTCTGTCTGAAAGCCTCGAGATCTCTACCATCTAAGAATGCATCAAAATAAGGATCTTTTATAGAGCTTTCTGACTGAAGCTCATCAGAGTAAGAATTTGAACACAAGGATGGCGCAATCGAGGGCAATTGGGATAGAGCAGTGGTAGTGGCGGATGCTAGTAGAGGGCCTGTGTCTTGCTGCTTTATCCTGCTAATGGTTTTCGCCCAAAAGGACTGAGTGGCAACAGAGAGGCTGTGTAGGGGATTCCCAGAAGGCGAAAGCACGGATTGTGGTTTTGAGGCATTTCGAAAAAAATTAAGCTGTTGTTCAAGGTGGTGAGCCTTGGAAAAATCCTGTACAAATGAGTTGATCATATTGGTTAACCTGCGCCGCCTGAATTCCAGGACCTGAATCACTTTCCTGGGCATTTCTATACTTTCGCACTGGTCCTTGACTAGCGCACATTCTCTCCCTAAATGTCCTGTCTGATTCAGCACACAAGACGGATAACAGATGAGAAGCTCTTGACTGAAACTTGTCCACATTTTCTGAAGGAAGAAATCTTTTCACAAAACTAGGAAAGAAATCGTTCCTCAAATTAGAACGCTGTAAGCGTCAGTATCCACTCGGATCAAAGAGTACGAGCCCCGCTAACATAGAATGGCACCCACAAATTCAAAATGAGAAAGCAGCAGTCTCTGCTCAAAATTCTGAGATGACAATTTCACAATTCCCTGAAATCGACTTAGAGTAGTGATGCATGCATCAGCTCCGCTTGGTCCGAGTACACCTCGCACCATAACAGGAATTTACCTCCTAGAGAAAGAACATCGGGAGAACAAGAGAACAAGACTGCTAGACAGAATCAAAAGAAAAAGAAAGACACTGAAGGGGCAGAATGCTTGACTGACACACTCAAACTTCCCAGATCAGATCCGATCTTGAATTTGTCCGAACCTCAGTAACGATTATGGAGATAAAAACCAGGCTAACGACAAGTTGAGCAGAAAGCGCAGACCCCCACACAGATAAGAGGAAAAGCCGTGAAAACCTTCACCCACCTTCGAGGCTCGTTGAAGCTTCATAGCGGAATCCCAACACCGCTTCATGGCGGGACACTCGTCCATACTCGCGGCCCCAGCTCTGTCTTCGATCTCTCCAAAAGCAGAGAACGCAAGAACCATTCACTCCCACGAGCATCGAATCACATCGCCGCCGGCCGCAATTTCAAATGCCGGCACGCGCACCACCGCAATTCCATCGTGCTGCGGATTCCCAACGACCAAATCAAGAAACGGTCGACCACGAGGTCCGTCCTGCGCGCGCTCGCTCTCGCGCTCTCGCCCTCTTCGCAGGTCGATCTCTCTGTCCCGTATTTCCATTTCCGCTTACGCCCGCATCTGGCTCCATGTTTTCGCGGCCTTTTCCACCTGCTTTTGGAAGGGTGCCTGAATTTGACTCGTCCGTCGAGCTCGCTCGTAGCTGCTGCGTAATCACACTCTACCCCTTTGGAGCCGTTCGAAGCACATACTCTATGCTTCTGGCGACGTGGCCCGAACGCTTGCTGGCGCGCTAAATGTGGCCTCGTGGACTCCCAATCGGCCCGCATCGTATCACTGCCTTGGCGTACGATGAGTTCTTCCTTCCTGTTTATTTCGCGGCATAAATGTAATCATCTTTACCCAGTCTTCCACTGGATGAGGGGCAAGTGGATAGAATAAAATGGGAGGCAGATTATAGATTGAAACCAATGGCTTCGGACGATATAATACTACCCCTATACTATATATATAATACTATTTATAATATTCTGAAATTCGCTAAAATGATATACATATGATTTATTAGCCCTTAAGATAGACGAGAAAAATCATAACTAGTACATATCTTCTTCCACTTCAAGGTGACCACTTTTTTTACCCAGTACTCCATCTTCTATTGTCTGGTGCAAGCTTCATAGTCGTGAACACTGTGAAGCTTTATTAGTCAATTTACAATTTTTCACCATGCAATTACTTGTGTGAATTAGGTTGCGATCACACTCAGTTTGATAAGATGTCAAACTTCTCTTCCCCATTATACTGGATAGCCACAAATCACTTTTGTAGAGATGTATTCTCTGGCCTTGCATCTAAGAGTACTGAAGAAGGTAGAATAGATTCGAGGTTTGTTCTTTTGATTATTATATTCTAGAATATATGCTTGCTTCAGTATAAACAACTTTTGGTTTAGGATTATTCAATCACAAGTGATACATTTGAGTTGTCAATAATGATAATTATCGTTATCTGAAATAAATTGTATGATGAAAAACATCCACAACAAAGTGTTTGTAAGAAATACATGATATATTGTGTAGATCGATACACAGTATTCTCTTCAAAATTCTAATATGTGTTAAAGAGTCGTTCAGCCAACTGTCTTATCTAACAATAGTTACACTAAATTAAAATTCAAAATATGACAAACTTACTTCCTAAATCTTGTTAGGGATGTTAGTGGCGCCATAACTATCCATACTTCAACAATGTTGTAACCTCAACAAGAAAATTCTGCTCATTTAAAAATTTTACGTGATATTATCAATTTAAATGTAAGATTTAAACAAAATTTGAACTTCTAAATGTTTCACTGGTCTCTTGTTGCAATAATATTGCATATAGAAGGTAAATATTTTTAAACCAAAATATTCATTGATCTTTTCATTCTTACATCAAACAATATCAAACATTTTGAAGTTTTGTAATAACTTGAAATCATTAAATATTTTCTTATTCTGTCTCAAAAATTTCCATATTTTTATATAATCATCTAATTCTAATACATATGATTTAAGTTACCAACAATTTATATTATCTTGAATTTTATGATATTATTTTTTGAATATTATGGTTTTTTGAACGAAATATAGCCAATGTCAATAAAAGATCACATAAAAAATCATATAGATTTAGGTTAAAGATTTATATAGAGCTCAGTTAATGTCAAATAGATGCATACTTACAGTGGCATATAAAAATGATATAAAAAATTATTCAATTAATATTATTTATCCAAAAGCTTTTATTTTATATTCCGATTATTATTTTTGGCATTTGTGAATTTAGAAGTAGGTATTTTTGATATGATAATAAAATTTTAAAAAATTGCCCGTAGAGAAATTTGAAAATTTTGAAACACAACGTGATTTTGTTTGGATTATATATCATCTCAACAATATCATATTGAGATCAATGTTTTGCAATATTTTTTTAGACTAATTATTCAAATTCCATTTTCAAATTCCTTTGACTTCAAAGAGAATTGTTGTTTGTTCGTATTTGAAATTTGTCGACGCAATGTAAAAATTCAAAGTTAAGCAATAAACTTTTCATATATTAGCTGCAAACTTAAATTCAATAGTTAAATTAAAGCCTGAAAATCTTTACAATGTTTTAAATCTTGTATAATTTCAAATAAAAATTATTTCTTATGCAAGATAAATACATAAAATGTAAAACAAATAAAAACAAATTTAGTGATAAATACTCTGAAATTGAAAAGCAATGTTGACACAATAGTGAAGAGGTATGGATTGCCCATTTGTAAAGCCACATAAGCTTTATTGGCAATCAATAAAACCTAAATTTTTTTAATTTCATAGCAATATGATACAAACATATAATTTTGTTTTTTTAGACAGTATTAGTTTGATTGATTTCATCATTTTAAAATTTTCATTATACCTTGAGATTTTTGCAAATTTTTTAAATTATAACTTGACATTTTGTTTTAAGCTGATGTTTGTTTGCGTTGGTGTAATGTTATTTGAAACATTTGGTGCCAAAATTTAGATTGAATTTGCTACACCAATCAAATTGATTTTGAAACTTAAATTAAATTGTGTTCATATTAGTTAAGAAAAATTGTAGACTTGCTTTTATATTGTCACTTTGTGCAATATTTCATTTTAGTCAAAAAATAATTGAAGCGTAGTGTTGATGATGATACAATGTTATTGCAATAAGATTATCCATAAGAAAAATTTAATCATTAATAATTTTTTTTTTAAAAATAGACTTTTTTAAATGTATTCAAATTGCAGTATCAATATAAGTTCAAATTTTAAACATCAATCTTGCTGATATTATTGATCCTAAATTTAAATCATAATTGTGAAAACATCACATTTAGGTAGTCATTATCATCAAGATATATTATTTTGATATAAGAGAGACTGAAGTAGAATGATTCAATAAAAAATTAAACTCAAAATTCATACTAAATAATGTTTTTCAAAAATTAAGTACAAAAAGAAGTTTTATCACTATGAGCATAAGTGCCAAAAAATAATAATTGGACATGTAAAAAATAGAATTTGATATAATATCTATAAAATATTAATTATGCAATTAACTATTTTTTAAAATATTTTTTCAAATTGTACATTACGTCTCACATGTTTTCCAATTTATAGAAAACAACGAGATTTGTTATCATATCAGAAATTTTTTTATATATATAGTTATTCTTTTCTTTTCTTTCTTTTCCTTTTAACTGAAAAGTTCATTTTCCTTTTGATTCTCCACATACCTACCAAGATAATTTGTAGAATTCAATTGAATGACTTCTTTTAGTGGTATATGTTTGGCAAATCATAATCACTGGATTTTTTGTTCTCTTTTCATTTTTGTTATATATAATGAATTCATTCACTTACAGTTTTTTCTAATGGTGGCAATAACGTGTTGGATTACACTAGAAGAAAACTAGGTTTGACTGATGCTTTCGCAAATTGCAAAAGCGAGCAGGATATTTCATACAAAATGCTATAGATTTTGAGAATAATATATAGTTTCTAGTCTAATTTTATTAGAATCACTTATTCGGGGCCATTATACTTGACAATGCATAAAACAACTAGCGTCAAAATGTTTTCATACAGAATGTTATAAATTTTCATAATCCTTTAAAAAAAAATAAACTATTACATGAAGGTTCAAAATTTGTGGAATCAAAATAGTATCAACGCTACGATATATCTAATGCCCTACGTTCCATCTTGTTCAAACTGCATGATGTTTTCTATGTTTGTGGAGAATCGAAAATTACCGAACTATATCAAGCAACCAAATTCAACCCCCATAAAATACAAACCATAATATTTTCTACTTCCTGAAACAAATATTTCTATACCCTTGCCATCGTTCGTTGACTGAAAGAATGGACCTGGAAGACAACCTTTATAAAAAGAATCCGCTGGGACTCCAGAGGTAAGAGCTTCTGGGCTGGCTCTGATCCACTGCGAAACGTGTCGACAATTTCTCCTGCTCTGGAACCACGTCGGCCTACGACGGCTCGGGCTCACATCAGAATTAAGGACCGGAAGCCTTCCGATTGCGGGCGTAAGGAAGCATTTGGACCATCGCGCAAGAACTCGAAGTCTTCATTGTAGAGCTTGAGATTCTTGCGTTGAAGCTCATGCTCGACAGCTGCTTCGTCAAATCTACATTCGACGAGCGTCTTGAGGAAGTTGACGAGGCTGCAGGCTATGGATGGGGAGTCGGGTAAAATCTTCGAGCACATGGTCTCCAACACCTGCGTCTGCATCTCGCGCCGAACCGTAGCGTCGGCAAGCAGCTCTCTGTCTTGGACCCTGTACAGCACGCTTTGGTCCCAGAATCCCAGCAGCTGCTGCTCCACTGTGGTCGTGGCTGATGACACGTCCGACCTTATAGTGTAGGAGATGGGAAATGTATAAAAAATTTCCTTCTCCACTGTCTCGAGTAGCGGTTGCAGGACAGCCTGCCTCCCTCTAGAGGACAAGCCATATTTTGTTCTTGATATGAATCCCAGAATGGCAACAAGCAGCCCGCTGGTTACGAACATCGGATCTTTCGTCAACTTACAGATGCAAAGCTTACCAGGATCCATTTCAACGTCGGTCTTTATACATTCCGATAATCTTCTCACTCCGAGGAATGTGTACACGTCGTTCAGCTCCGCTTCGTAGGCTGAAGAGCCCGCAGGATACCACACGAAAGCAGGAGTATTAGTGTGAACCATGAATAATTTCCTCCGAGTTAAATCATCGGGGATGAATGCAGCAGCGGGAGTCGTATACTGCAGCTCTTTACCAGTCGCCGTTAGTATCATAGCCTTGACCTTAAACTTTTCTTTGACGGTCGCGTCGCACATCTTCCAGCAGGTTGCAATCTTCTCCCACAGCTTGGCGCAATTTCCGACGGAGTAGTGCATCCCATCCTCGTACCATCGGATCCAAAGATCGTAATACCGGGAGAAGTGTACGTTTCTCGGGACACCGAGCGTCTTCTCAAAGAATAACAGCAGCTTTGAGCTGTAGATTTCACCCAGAGAGGGGAGCACACCTTTGAAGAGTTGATTTTTATCAACGAGAATGCAGTCCTCAGGACTCCGCCATGAAGCTGGGCCGTCGCTCGCAACACCTCCGGCTGGGATGTATATCTTCATTTTCCGGAATTGAGATGTTGTCGGTTTCCAGCAAAAACCGTTCAGAATATGGTAATATTTTTCTACTAGAGACCTGTCGACAGACCTGAGACCGGCACTACATTCTTTGATCAGGCGTCTGATCTGTTTGAATACGGCTGTACACGCCGACTCGGGCTCCTTAAGAACTCCCAGCTTACAAAGAACTCTCGAAAAAGGATTGACGTCTCCGTAGAACGATACACTTACGTAGGGGACTTCAGATCGATCGAGTAACCTCAGCAGATCTACGTGGGGCATGAGGCAGTTTTTCGGAAGCTGGAGGCCGTGTTCGTCCGTGTGCACCCATGCCGTCGTCATGAAGCTCGACCAGAATTTGTTGCACGAGTCGAAGGACCCGAGGTGGTTTTCCAGCCATCGAAACAAAAGTAGACTCTGAGCGGAGCTGAGATCCTCCAGCCCTGGAAATGGCTCATCGACGAGAGGGAGATAGGGCAGATCACGCGCTCCGAAGGTGTCACTGAAAAATGTTTTCAGGACAACCAGATCGCGGCTCCGATTCTCTGAGTATGCCAGGCAGACATTGATATACTCTTCAGACATTCTGATCCTGCTCCTCGGATCACTGGGCCACGCCCTGTCGCTCAGTAGCAGTGGCCACTCGCTGCAGCTAGCGGGGAGCAGCACCATTGACTTCCTTAAGTCATAGTTATAGTCCTCTCGAGTATAGTTCCGTTTCACGAGCCCGCTCTCGTCAACGATGGCGAAGCCTCTCGAGCCAGACGGCGGAGGCACACTTGCTTTATTCAAGACTCCTGCCTGAATCGAAGAGTAAATGAACTCCCACACGAGAAGGATGTACTCCTTCTCGTGTGGCATCGGAGGAGTGGAGTTGCTTCTATCCACCAATCCCTTCGCAAACGCCTTCACGTCTATTTCCTGGACCTTCGCGACATCCTTCAACCATGCTACTCCTGCCTTGTTTCTGGCCTCCTTCATGGCCTTGACGAGTTGTTGAGGCATGAATCGATACTTGATATACGGATTAAATTTCAGCATCCACGGGCTCAGGTAATCTCCACAGTCCGGGGGTGACATGTACATGATTATGTTCTCTTCCGTTATTTGCCTCAGGGAGAAGAGTCCCACCGCTCCTCTCTCTCCCTCGTACTTCACTATAGTCAAGTATCTGGTTCGATCGAGGCCGACTCTGTCAGTCAAGGAGGAGACGATATCCAGAACTTCCAGATACAACTGCTCGCTAATACGGAGGAGCCAATTTGAGTCATCCAGTATCTCGAGGAGTTCCTGGTCGCTCAGTTGCGGCACCTGCAGCTGACGTAGCTGTTCTTTATGATTACTTTGGACAAGGGCATCCACGGCCACCCAAGACGAACGGCTCACGCATTTTGAGATCGTTTCGTCAAGGCTAGCCTTCACTAGAATCTCCCTCAAGGTTGAAGAAATCTGTCGGCACTTGGAAGGATGAAAAAACGATCCTTTCACGAAGTTGGAGCCTACATTAGCAGCAGCCAGCACGATCTCCATGCGCTGCAAGCGGCTCACAATGCTGGAACGCACTTCCTCCAGCTGGGGAATCGGGCACTTATCCACGGGGACGAACTTGTAGACTTGATGAACTGCGATGGTCCTGGAATTGCCCGTCCCACTGGCGCTGGCGGACTCGCGCAGGAGACATTCCATTGCGGCGCAAAACGCCGTGGCCACGCAGCCCAGAATGCCCTTGTTCCAAGGACTGTCGTAGCGGAGCGTTTCCCTGGAGCTCACCAGCAGAAAATCGGCGTTGATGACAAACGGGAGCCCCGATCGTACCTGCGACGGCAGGAATGCGAAAATGTCACCGTGAGAGCTGCACGCGATGCGTTGTTGCGCGGGGAAGGCCAGAGTGAGGGCCCACGAGGTAACCTCTAGTCTCTGATCCACGCTAGACGTCACGGGAAATCTCTGCTCCCATACAAAGTAGTCGCACGACTCCTTCGTGTTCCCTGGCGACCTGACCAGCGACAACTGCGTCCAGAACATGTCGGCAGCGGGCTTCTCGACCTTCTTCCGCGACGAATCTGATCGTCTCATGGTCACAAGTTCCCCGTCCATGTGGCGGATTCGTATGCAGGTTATGCGTCGTAGAAACAAAATCGTCTCAGCGGAAAAGCTCTTCAGTTCCGCTTTCACGGAAGATATCTTGTCGGGCTTCAGGGGTAGGACGATGACCGTGCTCGGACGGCAGCCAAATTGATGCGAGTACGGTCTGAGAGTCTCGTCGGTCGGTCTTTCGACCCATTCTGGAACAATGTAGCCGATTTCGGCCATGGAGCCATTGCTCTCGACTCCGGAGTCGCTGAACCTTATTCTGAACCCGTTACTGATTATATAAGGCGTGCTCGTCACCAAGAACACGCTCTTGAACCCGATTCCTGCATCGACCAGGTCCACAAGACTTGTCAGCCATCTGAAAGGCATGCATATCTCGTGCTTCATGACAGCATTCGAGTCCTCTGTCGCAGAAGGACGCGACTTGAGCCTAAATTAACTGACGATTCCGATAGAACAGGATTGTCCGAGTCGTTCCTTCAACGACCGAGAAAGATGCCGGATTTGAAGGGTTCCTGTGCTTACCTTTCTCTCCTATGTATCCTTCGTTCCGCTGTCCTTTCTTCGTGGACTGCCCAATGCTGCACAGAGCCGCAATATGGCGCTCCTCAAACCCGCGCTCGTTGTTGCAGAGAATGAGCGTTGCCGGAGCTCCGACTCCAGTTATGTCGTCCGCAGTCAGAAGCATATCCAGCTGGGGCTCCACTCCAGCTGCGTAACTATTATCCTCGGCATTCTGCAGGCACAAAAGGTAATTGAGTTCCAGTCTCGAGCACCTAGAAAACTAATGAAATGATTAATGAATTGTCAAGTCTACAAGAAATTCAACCGGATTTTGGGACTGAGAATGTGACCACGACGTTTGATCCTCGATAGTGGCAAAGGAGGAGAATCCATAGCTGACGAACCAGACTTTTGGCTTGCCGTGAGGTACACTGGCAGATCCAAGCATCAAAGCGCCGAGACATCCAAACATCATAGTAGAGGCCGTGTGTAAGAAAGAAGAGAAGTAAGGAAATCACCTGGATTAGTTCAGATATAAAGTGTATATCTTTCTGGTAGAGCTCGGCAGATAGACATTTTATTGCCTGGTGCAGACTCTCTGCCAAGGGGTTCGGTCTGTCTGCTCCGATGCTGAATTTCTCTTTTCGAATAGTTTCGATAAAAGCCTTCTGTGATGATGCCATTTCTTTCACGTTCTCTCACCAGCCCACGTCGAATGATGCGAACTTGAGCTTCTTTATCGACCCCTAATCTGCAAACAAGGAACTCCAACGAAATTCTTTGACTACATGGAATACTAGACCGAGTTGCGTTCGAACAGCTGTTCTTGCATTGACTTATATAGAGTTTCTGTTCCATACGTCTTCTGAAATTCCATCCACAATCCAAAATCTGGCGAAGTCAAGGGCCACAGACTGCAAGACCATTTTTAGGTATTGCTTATATTCTCCCCTGCGCGCGCCTCGAATTCGTGCCTTGAGCCGTGCAAAGCGCTCTGCTATTTTACCCTTTACCGAGGGGCCAAGGAGTCCGACCGATAGGTGAAACCCTAAGAAAGGAGTTTTGCCGCTTTTGGTGTGACGTTACACATTATACAGGCCAAACCTGGAGATCTGGACGTCTAACACCTCTTTAACTCCAGACGTTTTCCTCCGCCTCTAATTGCTGATCCTTCTCTGGCTTCACCCAGTTTTGCAGAGGCAGAAACTTTCCACTCTTACGGCGGGATCCCGAATATCAGGCACGAAATGGTACAGCCGTACAACACGGGCCAGTTTCGTTGAAGTTATGGACCTGTTTCAACTATAAATCTATACGAACCCATTAGAGTCAAACTTAAGTACATATCATGGTTTAGTACCTCCAAGGTTCCACCTTTGTGATTCTGTACTGCAGCCATGCTACTGAAAGTGCCCGAACTCGCACCATTTGATCCTTTTAAAACGTGTGGTACTTTTTACAAGGGTTCATAACGTCACCACATCATGTTACGTTGTGATACCTTGTTACCGCCACGACGGCGGAACTTATTATCTCAATAAGATAATAATTTCTTCGCAATGCTAAACCGTTTTTTGTCAATCCTTCAGCCCCCAGGAAGCGCAGCACACAGAAATCAATTCCATGCAACTGGAAAGTAATTCGATACTGATCGTCCAGAACAACCACTCAATAGTCTCACAACGGCGCATGAAATAGTCTGTGTATCGTATGTGTGGAAGTCAACTTAGTCTCGTTAGCATACTAAGATATTGAGCTTGTGTGGTGAATCATGATCATTTTTCACACCTGTCCATAGATATTCCAATCTCTATCAATAACTATCACTCTGAATCTTAATTCGAACGCTGTTAGACGTTATACTTATTGCCGTGATCTTTTCCTCTGCGCGCATCCACAAGTCGACCTCCGTGACATGTGTCACGGAGGTCGACTTGTGGATGTAAAGTCTGCACCAAATGGAGTCATGATCACTAGGAGCCAGATTCCGCCGTCAGTGATGGACGAGATGAATAACTCAATGTAGATGGGACTGCAATCTGTGTACTGCTATTGAAACAACATCCAACTGTCTTAAACTCTAGTGAATTTCTGAAGTTTATGAAAGCATATTCTGTACCTCACCGTTACCAACTCATGATGACTGGGTAGAGTGCCCAATCTGCTTCTCTGTAAGTTGAGAACGCAGTCTTTGTAGTTGTACCTGACCGTTCACGCAAATCAAATCTCACATACTCAAATGCTTGTGAATGACGGCAAATTAAAGTGATTGTGAATATTGTTGCATGGATCCAACAAGTAGACGTACAATGGCCCAGAATTCTACGACCTGTCATTTGCATTTCCACACGACAGATGGAAGAAGACACTATTTCAGATGACGTTGAATTTCACTGTATTTTTTTCACTAAATTTTCATATAAATCATTTGAAATAATTTCACTACTTATCATACAACTGTATGTGCGCGCCTATCTGGAGACATATTTCAACAAATTTTATCATTTTGCATCCAAATTTTCAGACATAAAGATTTGTTTCACTTAACATCATATGAAAGAAGAAAAACGTATTCAAAATGGTACAAAATTCAAATGAATATGTTATATTATTGGAAACGTCGAATTGCATTCGATGATCAATAATCTTTCTCTTTTAACTACATTGAATGTTGATATAATGATGGTTACATATTTTTTTTATATATAAGTCTTCAATGAACATTTTCTAAATGTACATCTTTTGGAAAATTAGAATTAAACTATTCAAAAACTTCAATAGGATCATCGGTTTTCTTTTCTGACTTTAATGTATATTTATATTAAACTGCAGAGTGTATATTATTATGAAGAAGATGAAATTATAAAAGTTAAATTATATCTTGATTACCTTTGGCTAGCTCAATCATGGTAGCAACAAGAACTAAACTTCATATCCTCATGACACAGAGCAAGAAGCCCTATGATTCTCTTTTGCTTTCTCTTCTGCTCTGGCCAGAAGTTTTGAGGTTTATCTTTGATTCTTTTACTTTCACTTGTGTGATTATTTTGCTTTGTAATCTCATGATTAACTTATGCTTAGTTATATTTCAGATAATTTTTTGTCAGCTCATCATGTATTTAATATTCTGCATACAAGTTCATGATCAAACACAATTTCGAAAATTTCTATATTCATTACTAAAAAAAAATGTGATGAATTTAAATTTTAAGATAAAAATTTTTAAAAAATTGTATTTCAAAAAAGTTATTACACAATATCTCTTCAAACTTTTCTTTACCCTTCTATATAAAGTAGTTGAAATTTTTTCAAGATAACTGATTTAATCAAGATAATAAAACAAATTTTATTAAAATCTAACTTAACATGTATCTCTAATCTCTAAAATCAAATTTATGTTTTAACATGTTATTGGTTAATCTAAATCATGTAGAAGATTTTTTATAACAATATGCCATTGAAATCTTGAAAATTTTAGAAATTTTACTAAATCAAATTGACACTTTAAGCACTTTTTAAATCCAGTTTGTTAGAACAAACGGCTATTCTGAGTTGAATAAACATGTGATAGATATGGTTAAATTTATTTTTCATTATTTATTGATTTACAAGAAATAAATTTTATCTTAAAATAATTTTTATTTTTTTTTCAAATATCACTAATGATAATGCACAAAAGATAGTCAGTTGAATGAACTCATTGTTGAACATTTTATGAGTAAATTCGATTGTTGACTTGATTTAGGTTAATTTAACATTACTAGCTAGAAGACTGAATGATCTTGTCTCGGGGGTTACAAACTGTTAGGGGACGCGTCTCCCCGGGTTTGTTGGGTTTTGGAGCATCAACTCTCCTCGCCGGCGTATACCTGTAAGTCCCGCTCTTTAGTTTCGAACTAGTGTCTTGGAACTACTTGGTGTCGATACCATCTAGAGTTTCAGGAGTTGTCCCGGGGGTTAAGTTACCTGGCTTGCTTTGTAAAACGTTTGTTCTATTTAACGTTTTTCGGTCTAGATTTTTTTTCTGATTTGGTCTCTCTAGGTTGGTTTCGAACCAACGTCAGGATAATTAACAGCCATTTTCTCTAATCGATGAGCTACTAAAGAATAAGCACCAAAGAAAGGAATCGAAAAAAAACAAAAATCAATTTTGGAGCTACACCTTTATACAAGCGTCCATTTTGGGTTAGTCCGCCTCTTTTAACTGGACGAAGGTGGCCCGCAAACGATAAAAGAGTAGCGAACCAATTCAGGTTCGTATAGAAATCAAGCGAATTGCACTAAGTGTGTTTTGTTAAAGGGGCTGAATAAATCCAAATAAAACTTTTTGCTCATCATTGACATATTCCAAAATGCCATAGCAGAAGGAAATCAAAAATATAGATTTTCCCAAAAACTTTGTTGGTAAGACAATACCTTTCTACCGGACATAAAATGAAATCTCCGGTTCCTATCTTTGACCCTGTTTCTATCTTTAGCATTTAATTCCTGGAACCAGTATTCTTCCTGGGTTTGTCAAAAAGACACACCTACAAAATACTTATCGTCCTTGGAGGGTTTACTATTGAAATAATTTCGAACATATTCTGAATCGACACCCACGAAAACTTCTAATATATTTTTCATCGGTCTATCGCTACACCAATCAGCTTCGTTATCCTTCCAAGTTACTTTACTGCAATCTGTTAGCCTATCACAAGCCTCAAATTTACTACTAAAATCTTTAAGCTTAATATTACTATTGGTTAGACTAACTGAATAGCTCAGGGAAATTGAGCTTAAAAAAGAAAATTTGTACAAAAATCTGGAATACGTTGCACATTTTAGAATTTGAAAAAGGTCAAATTGACATAAAATTTGACCACAAAGAAAGATATTTACGTACAAATAATAACAATAAGTATATTTTTGAGAAATTCAGAATTGATTGTAATAAAATCATACATCTTCTCATCATAATTTTACTATTTACAATAGATTATTGCTTCTATGATTTGAACCTAACCATGTTGAAAAAAATGCATATGCTTATCAGCCAATTTGATTTAAAATATAAAATTATGATCATAATGCAATGTATTTTATTAAAAAAAAATTATTATTAGGCCAAAAAATTTTAATCACTATATAGATAGACAATCATAAATATTTTAGATTTTATGAATTTCATTTTAAATATAAATCAATAGCATCATGTTGGATCCTACATCTAAGAAGTATTATTTTATTGAACATGCTAGTGATGTAAAATTTTTTAGTTATACAAACTTTTAGCTTGTAAGTTCATTGTTGCTAGTTATGAATATTTCAAAAAATTCAAACCATTGAACGAGAAAAGATTCTCAAAAATTTCTTTATAAAAAATTACTAATTCACAGTCACAAATGTTATTGTGATGGAGATTTATCATGATGAATCTACACCACAATGATGACGTGACATAATGAAAAGATTTAATAAATATGAAACAAATTTTCAAAAAGCAAGAACTGGAAGAGAAGATACCCTAATCACCACACTAAACATCATATATCAATCAAAAACTTATACAATGAAATCATTTAATGAAATAAAATAATATTTATAAGATATGAAATAAGGGTCAATTCATTTATTCTTTTAGATCATGATATTGTGAAAAAAATGATGATGATCATTAGTTGATATTAAGAATTTTTTAATTTTTTTCCTTATAAATTAATACAAACCTTTGTCAATAAATTTTAGTGAAGTTCTGCTATGAAGCATGAGATGTAATTGTTGGTTAATAATAGATCTTAAAATGTTATATAGCTTACAAAGAATCAAATGGATGTACAAACTAAAAAATTTGCATTGGAACACATGATTAATATCTTTAAAGTAATGTTAGTGGCTAGATATTTTATACGAAAGAAGAATGTAAACTTCAATTGTAAGGATCTATGCTACAATCCAACTAATATGTGAACTTGTTGCAATATTTAATCTAGATATCGATCAAATGTACATAGTTATAACATTACTCTATTGATCTTTAAAGATACAAAACTACATGTTACATTCAATTGGTTTGTAATGTATATCTAACAAATTATTTTATGAAACCAAATTATGAGCGCTTTTATAGAAAAAGTATCTTAAATCATAATTAAACTAAGATTTATTAAAAATGAAAATTTATAAATCTATTTTTATCCAGTGGGATGAGTTTATGCTTCTTGTAACATGGTTAGTTGTTTGTCA